GGCAAGCAGATACAGTCGGTACATTCTCTCATTCAGCCTCTTCTGCCGGAGAAAGTGGAGGAGGTCGGCCGGGCTCCTACCCTCGAAGTCAGACACGGAGTACACCACTGAGTTCAGTTTTAAGCCGCGGCAGATCAAAGTTGGGGCCCATTAGCTTTCCTCTAAACTTGAGAACGCAGTTTTTTTTATCGTTGTGAGAAAGAGTCTCTGCGCTGCCGTTCGTTAAGCTGAAGGTCTACTATTGTGTCCCCAAATGTTTTTGAACTCACCGTAGCTCGCAGGTGTGAAGTTGAGTCTCAGCGGCGCAGAGCTGACTTCGGAAAACTGGCTAGGTTTTTGAAACCAGTCCTGGCCCCGGTTGACATATTGCTGGTGCTGATGAGCAGACAATCCCAGATCTACAGCTTCCTGGTTTGCTCACACCCAGTCATAATAGTTAGCTTGAATATGCCTTTCAAAGCTCTTTCTTCATTGCACCAATCCTGGCAGTGCTCCTCCTCGATAACACCTGCTACAGCCACCGTTGTCACACACACTACTACAAAAGCATGGGAAAACTAGGCTATTGCTTATTTAAAGGTTTATTATTATTATTAATTAACAACAATTATAACACAATATACAAACATAGCTTATAAAAAAAATCTACCAAATAACACAAACTCTATACACAGGGGTATACACAAGGATTCACAGGCATTTAGGGTTTGTTTTGGTCGACAGTTTTTCAAAGAAAAATTAAAGTTCAATTAAAATAATTACTAATTTTGGCTTTTCTTTTGCCCACTAACCCTAACCCCTCACTTTTATTAAAAAAATAAAAAGAATTAAACACTCCTGCCCATTGCAAGTCAAAATGTGATTGGTCACTCCAAAATCCTGCTCTAATACAGTTGAATGGCAGCGGCCTTCTGTCCAGCTTCTGAACGCGTAGCCAATGGCTGGCTGAGCTAGCTAGAATTTTCTACCCAGAGACCACCAAAGAAAAGTCCTGATTGGATATTTTTTTTCTTCAGTATTAACCCTTCTCTATCCAACACAAATTGAAGAGATTAAATCAGAAGATCTTTAAAATTATCGAAAAGATGAAATAGAAATGAACAATTAAAATGAAAGAAAGCCCTTAGGGTTCCCCCCTGGTTATATGTGTAACCCAAGTATGCCTAGTAGGCTAGGTTTACTGTGTTTAAGTTTGAACCATTTATTTAGAGGACCACAATGGAAATATTATTATTTATTATTATTAAATACGTTTTCAAACTTTTTTGTGGACTCATCACTCTGTGCGCAATAATAGTGTTTAACATGATTTTTGAATGACTACCTCATCTCTGTACCCCACACATACAATTATCTGTAAGGTCCCTCAGCAGAGCAGTGAATTTCAAACACAGATTCAACCACAAAGACCAGGGAGGTTTTCCAACGCCTCTCAAAGAAGGGCGCCTTTTGGTAGATGGTATTGACTAAGGGGTACTGTGAATACTTATGTAAATGAGATATTTCATTTTCAATACATTTGCACAAATGTCTAAAAACATGTTTTCACTTTGTCATTATGGGGTAAGAGAAAAAACATATATTTAATCCATTTTGAATTCAAGCTGTAACAACAAAATGTGGAATAAGTCAAGGGGTGAGAATACTTTCTGAAGGCACTGTATCTATCCATCCATCTATCTATCTATCCATCTATCCATCTATCCATCTATCTATCTATCTACCAGGGAGAGCCACTCTGGGGAGGAGAGTGATGATGATAATGTGAGCCTTCTTTCAGGCCTCTCTACCCCAGTTAGGTCCTTCTTTCAGGCCTCTCTACCCCAGTTAGGTCCTTCTTTCAGGCCTCTCTACCCCAGTTAGGTCCTTCTTTCAGGCCTCTCTACCCCAGTTAGGTTCTTCTTTCAGGCCTCTACCCCAGTTAGGTCCTTCTTTCAGGCCTCTCTACCCCAGTTAGGTCCTTCTTTCAGGCCTCTACCCCAGTTAGGTCCTTCTTTCAGGCCTCTCTACCCCAGTTAGGTCCTTCTTTCAGGCCTCTACCCCAGTTAGGTCCTTCTTTCAGGCCTCTCTACCCCAGTTAGGTCCTTCTTTCAGGCCTCTCTACCCCAGTTAGGTCCTTCTTTCAGGCCTCTCTACCCCAGTTAGGTCCTTCTTTCAGGCCTCTCTACCCCAGTTAGGTCCAGCAATGAGACCCATATGTTCACTGTTATGGGTCCCCATAAAATAGAATGACTGTGAAAACAGTCAACAATATCCGATCCCAGAAAACTGTACCGCCAATACTGAAGTATGTATTTATCTTCATTTCATTTATCTATTTGATGACCTTTTTAGTTTGATCCCAGTTTACTCTTTTCCCTGAGCCTCTGAGGCTAGCTAGCTACAGTAGACAGCTAAGGGCAGTCTTTCTCTGAGGCTAGCTAGCTACAGTAGACAGCTAAGGGCAGTCTTTCTCTGAGGTTAGCTAGCTACAGTAGACAGCTAAGGGCAGTCTTTCTCTGAGGCTAGCTAGCTACAGTAGACAGCTAAGGGCAGTCTTTCTCTGAGGCTAGCTAGCTACAGTAGACAGCTAAGGGCAGTCTTTCTCTGAGGTTAGCTAGCTACAGTAGACAGCTAAGGGCAGTCTTTCTCTGAGGCTAGCTAGCTACAGTAGACAGCTAAGGGCAGTCTTTCTCTGAGGCTAGCTAGCTACAGGAGAAAGTGTGCCTGACAAGCCTGAGGCTGAATTCCTATTCATCACAGTACGGACGCATTTATTCAGTTATTTGGAGTCTGGATAGAACCCTTTTAGAGCGTTCAGGGCATATTGTTCCAGTCTGTATAAAAGGTGTGTTCAATGCTTCGCTAGGAGAGAGCTGCACAATACTTCTATCAGACCATTGATTTTATTTAGGGCTCATCCACTGTTTATCACATGGAGGCCAGGCCAGACAGATTGATACATCCTAAATGGCACCCTATTCCATATTTAGTGCACTACTTTTGACCAGGACCCATAGGGCTACCTAGTGAAATAGGGTGCCATTTGGGATGCAGTCAGGGAAATGCACTCCTCTAACACTGACCATCTTAAAGGGTGGAAAGTGCATCAAAATCTAAGATGTTAAGATATGTGTACTAGGCCTACTGAGATACGATGTGTCCTAGACCTACTGAGATATGATGTGTACTAGGCCTACTGAGATATGATGTGTACTAGACCTACTGAGATATGATGTGTACTAGGCCTACTGAGATATGATGTGCACTAGGTCTACTGAGATATGATGTGTACTAGACCTACTGAGATATTATGTGTACTAGACCTACTGAGATATGATGTGTACTAGACCTACTGAGATATGATGTGTCCTAGACCTACTGAGATACGATGTGTACTAGACCTACTGAGATATGATGTGTCCTAGACCTACTGAGATACGATGTGTACTAGACCTACTGAGATATGATGTGTACTAGACCTACTGAGATATTATGTGTACTAGACCTACTGAGATATGATGTGTACTAGACCTACTGAGATACGATGTGCACTAGACCTACTGAGATATGATGTGTACTAGGCCTACTGAGATACGATGTGTACTAGACCTACTGAGATATTATGTGTACTAGACCTACTGAGATATGATGTGTACTAGACCTACTGAGATATGATGTGTCCTAGACCTACTGAGATACGATGTGTACTAGACCTACTGAGATATGATGTGTCCTAGACCTACTGAGATACGATGTGTACTAGACCTACTGAGATATGATGTGTACTAGACCTACTGAGATATGATGTGCACTAGGTCTACTGAGATATTATGTGTACTAGACCTACTGAGATATGATGTGCACTAGGTCTACTGAGATATGATGTGTACTAGACCTACTGAGATATGATGTGCACTAGGTCTACTGAGATATTATGTGTACTAGACCTACTGAGATATGATGTGTACTAGACCTACTGAGATATGATGTGTACTAGGCCTACTGAGATACGATGTGTACTAGACCTACTGAGATATTATGTGTACTAGACCTACTGAGATATGATGTATACTAGACCTACTGAGATATGATGTGTCCTAGACCTACTGAGATATGATGTGTCCTAGACCTACTGAGATATGATGTGTCCTAGACCTACTGAGATATGATGTGCACTAGACCTACTGAGATATGATGTGTACTAGACCTACTGAGATATTATGTGTACTAGACCTACTGAGATATGATGTGTACTAGACCTACTGAGATATGATGTGTCCTAGACCTACTGAGATATGATGTGTACTAGACCTACTGAGATATGATGTGTACTAGACCTACTGAGATATGATGTGTACTAGACCTACTGAGATATGATGTGTACTAGACCTACTGAGATATGATGTGTACTAGACCTACTGAGATATTATGTGTACTAGACCTACTGAGATATGATGTGTCCTAGACCTACTGAGATATGATGTGTACTAGACCTACTGACTTTAAAGTAATCCATTAACTTAAAGTAACACATGTCAGAGGTTGTTTTAAAAGCTTCTCTTTTATATGGAGAGATGTGTGTTTGAAAGCATGGCTGGGGGTTCATGCATTGTATAAAATGGCCTTTTTGGAAGTTGGAAGACCTGTGGCATCAAGTCAAGTTCTGGAGCTTCTTCTTTATTTCAAACTAGTCGGGAAGAAACACATCTATTCTAGAACACTGACATAAATCTACGATGGCGACATAAAAAAAACAATGATTTTAAATATTGAGGACTGGCTTGGAGCAACTACTGTACATGGCTGGCAGAGAATACGTTTTCTGTGGACTTTTTTTTAATCCGTCTCCGTCCGTCCCTCCATCTGTACCCCTTTCTTTTATATGAACCTCATCTGTCTTCTATACAACACATCAAAAGGGCGACTTCATGAAATTGTCATCCTCTATCTGGTGTTTCAGCTGCAGCGTGTTGTTAAATCATTCAGCTCCCTACGGGACTGGGAGGAAGCACTAACAATCAGACCACCTCCTCTCCTCTCTCTGCTCGCTGCTCTCTGTACAAATAGCAAACTAAAGTCTGTAAAACTCCTCAATACTGCCCAGCAACACCCACCAGCCTGTGGAGCAATCCTGCCCCAGCTCAAGGCACCCCACACCAGGCCAAGGGCTCACAATGGCCATGGGGCCTGGAGGTATTACAGACCCTAAAGTAGGCCTCTGAGCACACATACAGGTAAACAATAGACCACCAGGCTAAGACTGAGGATCCAATCATTATGCATAGGCATCATTCAGGACCTGTATACCAAAGACTCCAACCACCCTGTTCTCTCTGCTAACGCACGGCAAGCGGTACCGATGCATCAAGTCTGGGACCAACAGGACCCTTAACAGCTTCTACCCCCAAGCCATAAGACTGCTAAATAGTTAGTTAAATAGTTAACCAATAGCTGCCCGGACTATCTGCATTGACAATTTTTGTACTGACATTTTTTGACTCACCACATACACTGCTGCTACTGTTTATTATCTATGCTGTTGCCTAGTGACTTTACCCCTACCTACAGTATATGTACATATCCACCTCAGTTACCTCGTACCCCTGCATCGACTCACTACTGGTACCCCGTGTATATACTGTAGCTAAGTGTGTATCGTTCCTCATTGTGTATCTATTATTACTTTTATTAGTACGTGTTTTACTTTTCTATTATTTCTCTATTTTCTCTCTCTCTCTGCATTGTGGGTAAGGGCCCGTCAGTAAGCATTTCACTGTTAGTCTAACACCTGTTGTTTACCAAGCATGTGACAAATAACATTTGATTTGTGCGTTGGGGTGTCGGTGTAAGTATGGGTGAGTGTGTGGGTAGAGTCTAACGTGTGTGCATAGAGCCGGTGCAAGATAATTAGTGCAAAAAAGGGTTGATGCAGTTAGTCCAGGTAGCCATTTGATTAATTATTTAGCAGTGTGTGTGTGTGTGTGTGTGTGTGTGTGTGTGTGTGTGTCCGTGCATTCTGCGTACCTGACGGGAGCCTTCTTCATGTGTTCTCCCTCGAAGGTGGCGTTGGTCATGCCCATCAGGGTGTTAGCCAATGAGATGACAGAGAGCAGGTGCTGGGTGGTCACGGCCCGGGACACTCCGTACGTCCCTTTACCCACCATCTCTGACAGGGACAACTTCCTGCCCGTGGACAGGGCCATCTGACGCAGCAGGGACTCCTAATCAGTACGAAGGAGTTCGATGAATCAATTAATCGATTAGTACCGATTCCAAAAACAGAAAATTCTGATTTTATTTATTCTTTATTTAAAATAAATGATCAGCTAACATATTCAGAAAGCCTTAAAAATCTAAATCTTTACCTTGAAGGTGGGCAGCATGAGAGACATGTGACCTCCACGGGAGATGAGGCCGAAGGAGATGGGGCAGTGGGGTTGTAACATGCCCATTCGTCTCAGACACACCTCGTCCAGCGGTCCGATGAGGCCCCAGGCGTGGAGACAGGACATGAACAGTTTGGCAGTGTCCATGGTCAGGTTATACTCCAACGGAGACAGGGACTTACACTTCTCCTCCCGCCACCTCATCTAGAAGAAGAATAATATTTTGTAGTCTTTTTGCTTATAACCCTCCAGTTGTTGGCTCACTCCCCACACGATTTCTTGTCGGATCTAGGATTCGAACCGGCAACCCTTTGGTTAGTGGCCTGTTTCTCTAGCCTCTACGCTACTTACCTCCTCCTCTTCCTCCTCATCCAGGAGGTGCTCCTTAATGGACTCCTTCATTGTCTCCTTCACCTGTTGGAGATGACAAAATGGCCGACACTCAGTAAACGTAGAAAAATAATCATGGTGGGGCTTATATAAGTATTTAATTTGGATTATTTTCCTGGGAAATATTACAGTCAAATTCTCATAACAAACGGCACAAAAGGTAAAGCAATTGTGTAAGTAAAACTATTTTGGGGGGAATAATGTTACAGTATACAGCTGCATAACAATAACTGGAATAATAATAACAATGTTACTGTATCTAAAAGGTCATGGTAATAACTCATAATGATAATAATACATGTTAATGTATCTAAAGGTCATGGTAATAACTCATAATAATAATAATACATGTTAATGTATCTAAAGGTCATGGTAATAACTCATAATAATAATAATACATGTTAATGTATCTAAAGGTCATGGTAATAACTCATAATGATAATAATACATGTTAATGTATCTAAAGGTCATGGTAATAACTCATAATGATAATAATACATGTAAGGTATAAAGGTCATGGTAATAAACTCATAATAATAATAATAAGTTAATGTATCTAAGGTCATGGTAATAACTCATAATAATAATAATACATGTTAATGTATCTAAAGGTCATGGTAATAACTCAAAATTAATAATAATACCTGTTATTATCTAAAGGTATGTAATAACATAAATAATATACATTCTGATCAAAGGTCATTGGTAATACTCATAAGATAATAATACTTTAATGTATCTAAAGGTCATGGAAATACTCCTAATGATAATAATCAGGGTTAAGTATCTAAAAGGTCATACAGTTATTACACTACCCATTCCCTATATAGTAGTACAATACCCATTCCCTATATAGTAGTACACTACCCATTCCCTATATAGTAGTACACTACCCATTCCCTATATAGTAGTACACTACACTACCCATTCCCTATAAAGTAGTACAACTACCCATTCCCTATATAGTAGTACACTACCCATTCCTATATAGAGTAAAATACCCATTCCCTATATAGTAGTACACTACACAAACCCTATCCCTATATAGTAGTACACTACCCATTCCCTATATAGTAGTTACACTACCCTTTCCCCTATATGTAGTACACTACCCATTCCCATATAGTAGTACACTACACACCCTTTTCCCTATATAGTAGTACAACCCATTCCCTATTAGTATTTACAACTACCATTCCCTATATAGTAGTACATTAGGGCGGCAGGTAGCTTAGTGGGAAAGAGCGTTGTGCCAGTAACCGAAAGGTCGCTGGTTCAATCCCCGAGCCGACCTAGGTGAAAAATCTGTTGATGTGCCCTTAAGAAAGGGCACTTAAACCCCTAATTGCCTCTGTAAGTCGCTCTGGATAAAAGAGCGTCTGTTTAAATGACTAAAATGTAAAAAAATGTAAAGTCCCCCACTCCTATATAGTAGTACACTACACCCATTCCCTATATAGGTTATACACTACCCATTCCCAAATATAGTAGTAAAACTACACTACCCATTCCATATATAGTAGTACACTACCCATTCCCTATATAGTATTTACACTACCCATTCCTATATAGTAGTACACTACCCATTCCCTATATAGTAGTACACAAACCCATTCCCTATATAGTAGTACACTACACTACCCATTCCCTATATAGTAGTAACTACCCATTCCCTATATAGTAGAACATACCATTCCCTATATGTAGTACACTACCCATTCCCTATATAGTAGTACACTACCCTTTCCCTATATTAGTAACACTCCCCACCCCCTATATAGTAGTACACTACCCATTCCCTATAAGTAGTACACTACCCATTCCCTATATAGTAGTACACTCCCCACTCCCTATATAGTAGTAAAACTACCCACTCCCTATATAGTAGTAAAACTACCCATTCCCCTATTAGTATTTACACTACCCATTCCCTATATAGTAGTACACTACCCATTCCCTATATAGTAGTACACTACACTACCCATTCCCTATATAGTAGTAACTAGCCTTTCCCCTATATAGTAGTACACTACCCTTTCCCCATATAGAAAGTACACTACAACTACCCATTCCCTATATAGTAGTAAAACTAATACCCATTCCCTATATAGTTTTACACACACTACCCATTCCCTATATAGTAGTACACTACACTACCCATTCCCTAATAGTAGTACACTACACTACCCATTCCCTATATAGTAGTCACTAACCCATTCCCTATATAGTAGTACACTACCCACTCCCTATATAGTAGTAACACTAACCCATTCCCTATATAGTAGTACACTACCCATTCCCTATATAGTAGTACACTACCCATTCCCTATATAGTAGTACACTCCCCATTCCCTATATAGTAGTACACTACCCACTCCCTATATAGTGTACACTAACCATTCCCTATATATTTAGACACTAACATCCCTATATAGTAGTCACTACACACCCATTCCCTATATAGTAGTACTACCCACTCCCTATATAGTAGTACACTACCCTTTCCCCTATATAATAGTACACTAACACTAACCCATTCCTATATAGGTACACTACCCATCCCTATATAGGGGTTTAAAACTACCCATTCCCTATATAGTAGAACATACACTACCCATTTCCCGATATAGTAGGACACTCCCCCATTCCCTATATAGTAGTACATACCATTCCCTATATAGTAGTACACTACCCATTCCCTATATAGTAGTACACTACCCATTCCCTATATAGTAGTACACTACCCATTCCCTATATAGTAGTACACTACCATTCCCTATATAGAAAGACACTACCCATTCCCTATATAGTAGTACACTACCCATTCCCTATATAGTAGTACACACCCTTTCCCTATATAGTAGTACACTACCCATTCCCTATATAGTAGTACACTACCCATTCCCTATTATAGTACACTACACTACCCATTCCCTATATAGTAGTACACTACCCATTCCCTATATAGTAGTACACTACCATTCCCTATATAGTAGTACACTGCCCATTCCCTATATAGTAGTACACTCCCCAAATTCCCTATATAGTGGTACACTACCCATTCCCTATATAGTAGAAAACACTACCTTTCCCTATATATTTAGTACACTACCCATTCCCTATATAGTAGTACATACCCATTCCCTATATAGTAGTACACTACCCTTTCCCCATATAGTAGTACACTACATACCATTCCCTATATAGTAGACACTACCCACTCCTATATAGTAGTACATACCCATTCCAAATATAGTAGTCCCACTACACTACACTCCCTATAAAAGTAGTACACTACCCATTCCCTATATAGTAGTACACTACATACCCATTCCCTATATAGTAGTACACTACCCACTCCCATTAGTAGTACACACCCATTCCCTATATAGTAGTACACTACACTACCACTCCCTATAAGTAGTACACTACCCATTCCCTAATAGTAGTACACTACACTACCCATTCCCTATATAGTAGTACACTACCCACTCCCTATATAGTAGTAAAATACCCATTCCCTATATAGTAGTACACTACCCATTCCCTATATAGTAGTACACTACACTACCCATTCCCTATATAGTAGTACACTACCCACTCCCATATAGTAGTACACTACCCACTCCCTATATAGTAGTACACTACACTACCACTCCATATATAGTAGTACACTACCCATTCCCTATATAGTAGTACATACCCACTCCCTTATATAGTAGTACACAAACCCATTCCCTAATAGTAGTACACTACAATACCCATTCCCTTTTAGTAGAAAAACATTTACCACTACCCATTCCCTATATAGTAGTAAAACTACCCATTCCTATATAGTATTTCACTACCATTCCCTATATAGTAGTACATACCATTCCCTATATAGTTAGTACACTACCCATTCCCTATATAGTAGTACACTACCCTTCCCTATATAGTAGACACTACCCATTCCCTATATAGTAGTACACTACCATTCCCTATATAGTAGTACACTACACTTCCCCTTCCCATATAGTAGTACATTTACCCATTCCCTTTTAAAGTAGAAACTACATACCCCATTCCCTATATAGTAGTACACTACCCACCCCCCTATATAGTAGTACACTACCCACTCCCTATATAGTAGCACACTACCCTTTCCCTATATAGTAGTACACTACCCATCCCTATATAGTAGTACACTACCCTTTCCCTAATAGTAGTACACTACCCATTCCCATATAGTAGTTACACTACACTACCCATTCCTATATAGTAGAACTACCACTCCCTAAATAGTAGTACACTCCCCCCATTCCCTATATAGTAGTACACTACACTACACTTTACCCATTCCCTATATAGTAGTACACTACCCACTCCTTAAAAGTAGTACACTAACCCATTCCCTAATAATATACACTACACTACCCTTTCCTATATAGTAGAAACACTACCCAATTCCCTATATAGTAGTACACTACCCATTTCCCTATATAGTAGTACACTACCATTCCCTATATAGTAGTACACTACCCATTCCTATATAGTAGTACACTACCCTCCTATATAGTAGTTACACTACCATTCCCTATATAGTAGTACACAAACCATTCCCTATATAGTAGTACACTACCCCATTCCCTATATAGTAGTAAAATACACTACCCATTCCCTATATAGTAGTACACTACACTACCATTCCCTATATAGTAGTAAAATACCCATTCCCATATAGTAGTACACACCCATTCCCTATATAGTAGTACACTACACTACCCATTCCCTATATAGTGTACACTACACTACCCATTCCTATATAGTAGTACACTACCCATTCCCTATATAGTAGTACACTACACTACCATTCCCTATATAGTAGTAACTACACTACCCATTCCCTATATAGTAGTACCTACACTACCCATTCCCTATATAGTAGTACATACACAACCCATTCCCTATATAGTGTACACTACACTACCCATTTCCCTTTATAGTATACACTACCCATTCCCTATATAGTAGTACACTACCCATTCCCTATATAGAAAGTACATTAACCCATTCCCTATATAGTAGTACACTACCCATTCCCTATAGTAGTACACTACCCATTCCCTATATAGTAGTACAACTACCCAATTCCCTATAGTAGTTACACTACCCATTCCCTATAGGTAGTAACACTACCCATTCCCTATATAGTAGTACACTACCCACTCCCCTATATAGTAGTACACTACCCATTCCCTATATAGTAGTACACTACACTACCCATTCCCTATATAGTAGTACACTACCCATTCCCTATATAGTAGTACACTACCCATTCCCTATATAGTAGTACACTACCCACTCCCTATATAGTAGTACACTACCCATTCCCTATATAGTAGTACACTACACTACCCATTCCCTATATAGTAGTACACTACACTACCCATTCCCTATATAGTAGTACACTACCCATTCCCTATATAGTAGTACACTACACTACCCATCCCTAATATAGTAGTACACTACCCATTCCCATATAGTAGTTACACTACACTACCCATCCCCTATATAGTAGTACACTACCCATTCCCTATATAGTAGTACACTACACTACCCATCCCCTATATAGTAGTACACTACCCATTCCCTATATAGTAGTACACTACACTACCCATTCCCTATATAGTAGTTACACTACCCATTTCCCTATATAGTATCACTACCCATTCCCTATATTGTAGTCCACTTACCCATCCCTTATAGTGTTACACTACCCCCATTCCCTAATCAGTGGACTACACTACCCATTTCCCTATATGTCAGTACACTACACTACCCCCTCCCTTCTAATAGTTAGTACACTACCTACCCATTCCCTATAATAGTAGTACCACTCCCATTCCCTTATATTAGTACACTACACTACCCATTCCCTATATAGTAGTACACTACACTACCCATTCCCTAGTATAGTAGTATTTTCCAATTATAGTAGTACACTACCCATTCCCTATATGTAGTACACTACACTACCCATTTCCCTATATAGTAGTACACTACCCTACCCATTCCCTATATAGTAGTACACTACACTACCCATTCCCTATATAGTAGTACACTACACTACCCATTCCCTATATAGTAGTACACTACATACCCATTCCCTATATAGTAGTACACTACCCATTCCCTATATAGTAGTACCTACCCATTCCCTATATAGTAGTACACTTACCATTCCCTATATAGTTAGTACACTACCCATTCCCTATATTAGTAGTACACTACCCATTCCCTATATAGTAGTACACTACCCATTCCCTATATAGTAGTACACTACCCATTCCCTATATAGTAGTACACTACCCATTCCCTATATAGTAGTACACTACCCACTCCCTATATAGTAGTACACTACCCATTCCCTATATGTAGTACAACTACACCCATTCCCTATATAGTAGACACTACCCATTCCATATATAGTAGTACCCTACCCATTCCTATATAGTAGTACACTACCCACTCCCTATATAGTAGTTACACTACCCATTCCCTATATAGTAGTACCTACACTACCCCATTCCCTATATAGTAGTACACTACACTACCCATTCCCTATATAGTAGTCCCTAAAAGTAGTACACAAACCCATTCCCTATATAGTAGTACACTACAACTACCATTCCCTATATAGTAGTACACTACCCATTCCCTATATAGAGTACACTACACTACCATCCCCATATAGTGTACACTACCCATTCCCTATATAGTATACACTACACAAACCCATCCCCTATATAGTAGTACACTACCCATTTCCCTTTATATAGTAGTACACTACAAAATACCATTCCCTATATTATGTCACTCCCATTCCCTATATAGTATACACTACCCATTCCCATATGGGTAGTCCCATACCCATTCCTATATAGTAGTACACTAAAACTACCCATTCCCTATATAGTAGTACACTACCCATTCCCTTATAGTAGTACCTACACTACCCATTCCCTATATAGTAGTACACTACCCATTCCCTATATAGTAGTACCCCTACCCATTCCCTATATAGTAGAAACACTACCCATTCCCTTATAGTAGTACATACACTACCCATTCCCCATATAGTAGTACACTACACTACCCATTCCCTATATAGTAGTACACTACCCATTCCCTATATAGTAGCTACACTACCCATTCCCTATATAGTAGTACACTACCCATTCCCTATATAGTAGTACACTACACTACCCATTCCCTATATAGTAGTACACTACCCATTCCCTATATAGTAGTACACTACACTACCCATTCCCTATATAGTAGTACACTACCCACTCCCTATATAGTAGTACACTACCCATTCCCTATATAGTAGTACACTACCCATTCCCTATATATTAGTACACTACCCATTCCCTATATAGTAGTAAACCTACCCATTCCCTATATATAGTCAAGTACACTAACCATTCCCTATATAGTAGTACACTACCCTATCCCTATTATAGTAGTACACTACCCATTCCCTAGATAGTAGCACACTACCCATTCCCTATATAGTAGTACACTACAACTACCCATTCCCTATATAGTTACTACACTACCCATTCCCTATATAGTAGTACACTACACTACCCATTCCCTATATAGTAGTACACTACCCACTCCCTATATAGTAGTACACTACCCATTCCCTATATAGTAGTACACTACCCATTCCCTATATAGTAGTACACTACCCATTCCCTATATAGTAGTACACTACACTACCCATTCCCTATATAGTAGTACACTACCCATTCACTATATAGTGGACTACTTTTGGCCTGGATAGGAGGACATTTTGAACATAACCCAGGACAAACCATCCTTCCTTGCCTCACCTGTTTGAAGATATTGCCTGTGTTAAAATGCCAAAAGTAGTGCACTATATAAGGAATAGGGTGCCATTCCAGTCATAACCTAGCAGGACCAAGCATCCATCCATCCCTCACATGTTTGAAGATCTTTGTTGGCCAGGAAGGACCCTCCCTTGTCGGCTGCTCCCTGGGCCTTCTGGAGGGTCTCAGGGGAGACCAGGGGTGGGGTTGGGCCGCTGGGCCTCCTCCGTCAGCGCCTCCACGTCGAAGAACAGGACATGCATATCAGGGTCTGTCAGGTTGGTCTTCATGGCCTGCACCACCAGACTGTTGTTGGAGTACTTCTGCAGGTTGCCCTGGGAAACACAAAGACAGATGTATTGATAAGGAGAAGGGACACCATCACATTAGCGTCTTAACTAAGATATGACCAGATATCTTCCACAAAGCATTATGGGTACTGTAGTACTGTGACATTCTGACCAGGCTCTCATATTAATGTTGGATAATAAATATATACATTCTAGATTGTCCACAAGAGAAACTCCTTCAAATCTACCACATTTGTTATATTGAAAATACAGTATAAGGTTGCTGTGCTATGCTATGCTATGCTATGCAATTGAGGTCTTTTTTTCATCAAACTGGATATGTGCATGTTCCTAAACTCTTTGACTGACAGTCCATCAATCTCAACATGTTTCCCTTCCATTCACTGTGTCTGGATCCAGGAGCAAAGTTCCCCACTCCCCAGTCAGTCTCATGGTCCATCCTGGTCTGTAACCACCTGGAATATTTCACCTCCAATGTCCCCAAGCCTTTCACTTCATCTAACCACAGCAAGTCTCATGTGCAAACATGCTAATCCCTATTCAATTGTAATTCAATTTGAAGGCCCCTGCACTACACTCTTTGCATTGGTAAGGATGTTTACATAGAAATGAGCCAGGTTTGCAATGACTGGACCCTCAGAACATTATTATCCTCCTTTCTACTGGGAGAGAGAGAGAGAGAGAGAGAGACAGACAGACACACCAGAGAGGGACAGAGAGACAGACAGAGAGAGAGAAAGGGAGAGACAGAGAGAGGGGGAGAAAGAGGCTGCTGCGTCCCCTAGCCCACTCACACGACCCCCTAACCCCCCCTCCTCCCTCCCTATCCTGCATCTGCTCTGTCCGGGAGGGAGCATTCAATAGACATCACAGTAAGGTCTATCTCTGACAATTAGCACACTGAGGGTCAGCATTGTCACCGTGCTCAATGGCAGTTAAGGGGCTTCAATGGGCGCTGTTGTGTATGCCAACAGTGTATCACAGGGAGATATTGCTTCAGGACAGGGAGGGGGGAGGGAGGGAGGCTGGCGCAGGGAGTATTGTAGGGACAGGGGGAGGGGATGGGAGGGAGGACCTAACAGCGTTACAGCAGGCTGGAAGATATCTGCTACAGGACAGGGGGAGGGGGGGAGGGAGGGAGAAAAACAGAGTACAGCGGCTGGAGATATCTGCTACAGGGACAGGGGGAGGGGGAAGGGAGGGAGACCTAACAGCGTACAGCAGGCTGGAGATATCTGCTACAGGACAGGGGAGGGGGGAGGGGAGGGAGACCTAACAGCGTACCGCAGGCTGGAGATATCTGCTCAGGACAGGGGAGGGGGGAGGGAGGGAGACCTAACAGCGTACAGCAGGCTGGAGATATCTGCTACAGGACAGAAGAGGACACAAACACATGGTTAACAGGCTAACTAGTTTACACCTCCCGATAACAAGTTACAAAGCCAAAGGTGGAGGGAGAAGTGAGAGAGAGAGCCTTAGCTCATAGGAGCACCAGTGTGTTATAAAGGGCCCTGCGTGGCTGACTTCTCCAGGAGGGAAGTGACTCCTGACACCGGCGCGGCAGCAGAGAGCAGAGGGAAGCGGCGCACAGCCCTGCTACTTCGTCCTACTGGCGGTCGAACCATCAATTTCACTGTCCGTTTGATGAGGGAACAGCGAATCAAAGCCACAGACCGTACGCCTTGCTCAATTGTTTTCCGACAGATGTCTGCTTCTCCAGGCAGCCGTGAGACGCCAGTGTGTGTGTGAGGGTGTGTGTGTGTGTGTGTGTCACTGGAACTTTCCTCTGCTGGTGCTGGCTACTGGAGGAAGCTATAATCAAGCTACACCTCCGCCCTAACAATTACAGTGTGTGTGTGCCCCAGCCCAGCTCACAGCTTCCCTGTTCAGTTATTAGCCTTTATAGTGGCTGATGGGGACACACCGCACTTGCACCTGTGACACACACACACACACACAGAAAATAAAATTGCACAAATATCCCTGGACAATGCATCCTGCAGCAGCAGTACTGATATGCTCTGATCAGTGAAGCTTAATTAGGCTTTCTCTATGAACTGCTTTTTTATGATAAGAGATTTCTAGAGGCAGCCGTGTTGCTGTGGTTTTGGTGGAGGAATGCTGCCCTCTACAGGATAACGGCTGCTACAACTACAAGGCAAAGGGAACTTTCCCAGCCCAATCTTCCCCTAACCCTGTCCACCTCCATCTTCCCCTAACCCTGTCCACCTCCATCTTCCCCTAACCCTGTCCACCTCCATCTTCCCCTAACCCTGTCTACCTCATCTTCCCTAACCCTGTCCACCTCCATCTCCCCTAACCCTTACTACCTCCATCTTCCCTAACCCTGTCCACCTCCATCTTCCCCTAACCCTGTCCACCTCCATCTTCCCCTAACCCTGTCTACCTCCATCTTCCCCTAACCCTGTCTACCTCCATCTTCCCCTAACCCTGTCCACCCCATCTTCCCCTAACCCTGTCTACTCCATCTTCCCCTAACCCTGTCTACCTCCATCTTCCCTAACCCTGTCTACCTCCATCTTCCCTAACCCTGTCCACCTCCATCTTCCCCTAACCCTGTCCACCTCCATCTTCCCCTAACCCTGTCTACCTCCATCTTCCCCTAACCCTGTCCACCTCCATCTTCCCCTAACCCTGTCCACCTCCATCTTCCCTAACCCTGTCCACCTCCATCTTCCCTAACCCTGTCCACCTCCATCTTTCTCCCTAACCCTGTCCACCTCCATCTTCCCTAACCCTGTCCACCTCCACCTCCATCTTCCCCTAACCCTGTCCACCTCCATCTTCCCCTAACCCTGTCCACCCATCTTCCCCTAACCCTGTCCACCTCCATCTTCCCCTAACCCTGTCCACCTCCATCTTCCCCTAACCCTGTCCACCTCCACCTCCATCTTCCCCTAACCCTGTCCACCTCCATCTTCCCCTAACCCTGTCCACCTCCATCTTCCCCTAACCCTGTCCACCTCCATCTTCCCCTAACCCTGTCCACCTCCATCTTCCCCTAACCCTGTCCACCCCCATCTTCCCCTAACCCTGTCCACCTCCATCTTCCCCCTAACCCTGTCCACCTCCATCTTCCCTAACCTGTCCACCTCATCTTCCCCTAACCCTGTCCACCTCCATCTTCCCCTAACCCTGTCCACCTCCATCTTCCCCTAACCCTGTCTACCTCCATCTTCCCCTAATCCTGTCCACCCAACTCGCTCTCCCTCCCTCCCTCCCCCTCAGGACACAACTAGGCAGCAGATGGACTCCAGCAGATGACCTCTGAGCCCAGTCAGGGCCAGATCAGGAAGAGGGGAGCAGAAAATCTCCCCCCCCATTCTGTCATAGCTGAAGCTGCAGGGGTTTAATCTATTTCTGTAGGCGTACACACACTGGGGGGGGTAACAAGGGCTCGCTCTCCTTTTCTCTCAGAACCCATTAACCAGGGTTTAGAGCTGCAGGGTCAAATGCACAGAGGACGGACATATGTCTGACTCTCTCCATCAACCACACACGCACACCAGGGCTTCCAGAAAACGTTGTGCCAGACATCTGACCGGCAGCATTTGAATTGACCAGACATTTGAGAAATGTACCAGACCCATATGCATTGGGTGCGTAACCTGATTAAGGCGTCCACCCACAGTTCTCAGAATGACAGAAATCACATTTAGATTATGGTAATTCATATTAACAGGACATGCAATTCAAGGATGCGACGATGTGCGGTGCTTCTTACCGAATTCTGATGCACACTTTGAAGATGTTAGAATAACGTTACTTTCCCTCTGCCAACAAGACGTGTAACGAACAGCAAAATCACTAGCCTATGTCAATCTACAGTGGTTCCTCAATTATTTTCACAATGCAATGCGGCACATTGACAACTCAAATCCCTTTGAAAGAGCCTTCTACTGTCCTAATGAAAGCCTTTAGCTGACAAATAATCAATATTGTTTAGATAATAAAATAGTGTAATTTAAACTTAAACAATTCCCAGAATCGACTATAGGCTGAAAAAATCCTACTTTTATTTAGTACAGGCATACTCAAACCTTTACCAATGGCCTGGTCTACGGACGAAAGCCTGAATTAGAAACAAATAAAGCTACTAAAACAATAAAATTAGGCAAAGTAGCCAATTTAATTAGCAAAAACAATCCATTCATCACTTGAACGAAAGCCTGAATTAGCCATCAAATAAAGCTACTAAAAGAATAACTTCAAAAAACAGTCCATCACTCGGATTTCTTCAAATTGCTGTGCAGGAAAAGGTCGTCATCCACCGTGCCTGCTGACCGCTGGCTTCTCCTCTCTGATATCAAAACTCCAGCTGTAGGTGACACTTTATCCTTTGTCTCCACACCATGACCAGGTGAAGAGTAGGCTGTTTGCTGTCCTCCAAGGAGAGTGTGGCCTCTTTGAAGCGATAGAGGAAATCAACAAGATCCACAAGTATTCTTTCACAGTAGCTGGCCTTGTGTTATCTGCAGTTTTGAGCTGGGAACTGTCCCACTTCATGGAGGATAGCACCCTCTAAATGAGCACCCACTCTTTGTTTATGTAATCGAATGTAAGGCACAAGTTTCCTATTTTTCTAAAATTTGTCAGTCCACCTGTTAAGTGTAATTGAACAATTAGATTTATCCCAAGTTCTACTCTCAACTCCGGGACAACCCTCCTGCTGATTTTGCAGGACTCTAGTGAGAGAAGAGAGAGAAACTCTTTGACAAACTCTCACACCTCCATTAATTTACAAAAGGATTATCTAACAACTCGGCTACGTGTGAAAAATCCCCCAATTTGTGCCACAGTTTAAAGCTATCGATAGATTCTACGGTCAGTCAGAGTTGAGTCCTATTGTAAAGGTGTAGCCTAATGGCCAAAAAAGGGCAAACTTGCAAAGTATTCGATGCTTAAGTTTTACATTTCTAACATTTCTAACTCAATATCACAGACAGGAGCTGCAAGTTCTGTTAAGACGCATTACCATCATCTAAAAAAGGGCAAACACATTT